CTAATCATTATTTTAAGATATTTTCTGTTACATTTATGAAAACATTTAAAATCAGTACACCAGAAAACCAATATGGCTCCTGCATTTAAAACATATATATAATGAAAGAAAGTAAAATAACATTGCCAACACTGCCAGTTGTTTTGTCCTGGTAAGAATCAATGCAGTATTATGATGTCTAAACAAGTCCAGTATTAAAACTATTGCAGAATTTCTGGGTATTAAAGAACCTAAACCAAAGCCCTTCATATAATGATACCACAGGAAGCGCTCTGAAGTTTCTCAGCCTGTGTCCATCTATAGGTCTTGTTTATAGGTCTTGATAGTTGCTAACTATCATCATTAGTTCACTGACCTCATTATACAGAGCACAGATCAATATTTACAGAAATTGCTTCAAACTAACAAATGTGTTTGCAATTTCTAGGTCCTGTTCCAACGCAGGAACAATATGAATTTTCAAGGCGGCCCCTGCAGTGTAAACATGTTTTAAATAAACAGGAACTAACGCAATGCTCTTTTAATTGATTCATTCTGCCCAGCAATGTTTACAGAAGGGCCTAAATATGAACTTGTAATGCAAATCCAGCGTTTAGAAGTGGTTTGTTTGGTTAATACAATAACAGTTTGAATGCCAGCCATGTTAAAGTTGCATTGTGTGCTTCAAAGGCTTTATTTGGGGATGTAAATCTTTCTAGACTGCTCTCTACAAATTGTACTGCAATTCGCAGGGCAGAGCTGTCTATGTTCGAAATAGGAGAGGGAATAATCATAAAGCGGTTGTGCGCGGTATGGCACTCTGGGTAAAAGACCATCAGATTATAATTAAACACATTTGAGAGGCAATAAAACGTAATGAACGTAGTAAGGAGACTGGCAGAGCCATTTTATGTGGCCAGCACAACATGTTGTGTAGCGCTGAAAGCCACGCCATATGTGTCCTCGGGTGCTCTGGGTTTAAACGTCTGTCCATATATGGTAGCTGTAGCACTTTTTTGAAACACATTCACAGTACTGACATGGAAGTGGCCTTGTGGGTAATGAAGACAATCCAAAGATGTGTGCTCAAGCTTTTTTTGCAGGGCAAGTTACATTGCTGTTCAAATTTCTTTCTTTTTTTTATTATTAAATATTAGGGTTATGTGTCATGTTTGCAACACTGAGGGAGAAAAAAAAACAAATTTACTTATTACCAAGATTTATATATAAAACATTAACTGTAAATGACAGGTTTGGACTTTTAAAAACTTTGAAAGCAAAACAGATGGTTCTGGTGAATGACATTCTTTGTAGCTGCTTACGGCTTGACTCAAGGTCAAGCAAACTTGTGTGATTTAAAAAGCAAAAAGCTTTATTCAAAAACAGATTTTTACCGGTAAACAGAATTAGTGTTAGTATTAAACCACTTTCTGTAATTGCAGTGTAGTTTTGCAGCAAGATTTGAAGTGTAATGTTTATGAGCGTTTAAAATAGTTCAAGTTTTAGTGCAAAAAAATGCAAGACTTTACAAGCACATGCATTAACTTGGAAGTAGAAGTTTTGAATCTCGAGTTATGAAGGTGTTTAATCACTAGGAGGTGCTGTTCAGACTATAATAAAGACTGAAATATGAAAAACAGCAACCCACTACAGTCAAATTCAGCTTTCATACAATTTTAAAAAAGCTAACTTTGTGTTTTAAACTTTAATTATAGACATATTAAATTGGGTAAACACTCTAAAAAGTACTTGTAAACGTGGACACTTGTAAACTAACATAGAAAGACACTTTAAATGTGTTCTCATAGGCTACAAGGGAGTTCTCGCCCTCATTCAGAGCTATGTATTCAGTCTGGCATGTTCGGCCCAAAGGGATGGGGCCAAGGCACAAGGAGGCCCAATATTCCAAACAAAATGCCTCTCATCGCCTAAATCCATCACTGCAGCGGAGACAAGCGAGTCCCTCTTTCTCTGGATGTTTAAAGGAGAGAGTGTAAGCATGTATGTGTTGACTGGTCCTGAGTGGGTTTTCTGGCCTCTGGGATGATCCACAGAGAACCAGCTAGTTTTTCTTTAAGTCTTTAACACTATTAATTAGCCTTAAGTATTCCAGAGAGCTGTGTAATAATACAAATTGACCACAGAACTACAAAACTGAACTGTAAAGCAAGAAGACTAAAGCATATGTCGCATTCAGATTATAGTGTGTGATGTTTGTTTTTATGTTTCACAAGCAAAATCGAATAACATGTTACAATTTCTATTCCTCGCAGAGTGTATTTATATAAAAGTTAAAAAAAAATTAACGTCTGCATGAGTTTTAATAATACACCCTCTTTGTTAGACTCTGTGGTTTGCACACCTGTGTTGACGGGCACGCTGTCCTCTAGCCGCCTTGAAATGGAAGCATAAACAAGCATATCCAGCTGGGGAAACCCAGACTCACCACAGCCCCGCAGACAGGCCTGCCGCCAGCGCCTGTATCTTTTCACATAGACACACGCATTTGATCATTCCATCTGGAAAAGAATAGCAAAAGGATCTCAATAGGACATAGGAAACATTCTAAATTAGCATTAGAAATATTCAACAATTCCTAGAAAACAGTGAAGCATTCATGAACAAAATCAAATATTAAAACACCTCTGTGAATATATTAAATTCTGATGCCCAGTGCTGGTGCCAATGAGCGTGCCAGACGATGCCAAACTGCATGAAATATAAGCAAGCTCCAATGTGACTGACTCTGAAAGTATTCTGATGCTTCAGGGCCAAATAAGACACTGGGAATTTCCTAGTGTGCTGCACTGATTTTTAAATGAGTAAACATGCTAAAGCAAATAAATAAAAATGCAAATGAACGCCACAACATTATTACAACAGCAGCAAATTTGATTTTTAATGCAACATTCATGGGTGAGTTCTGTGTGCATAGTTTGACTGCCCTCTATTGGTAACTACATGTTATGTGCATGACAACAAATTTAGCATTGAAACACTGCACCCTTGTGACTAAATCCAGAACAGTTCAAGTTAATAACCATAAGAATGGCAACATCTGTTATTATAATTGATCAACTTTTGAAGCTGACTAAAAATAACGTTTTTAACCACAAGTTTTCCAATCACTTTAATTGCATGTGGGGATGTTCAAGAAGATAAAGACTAGTTAAAAACGTGCGTCAGCGGCAACGATTTTTATTTCAACAAATGTTTAAATGAAATGACTCACCCTCGTGTCGTGACAAACCCATAGCATGCTCTTAATTTTCCTGTTCAAGAAATATTTCTGAATCATCATGCAGGTCTTTTATGGTGGCCACGTGGCATAAGCTGCAAAAAAATTGTATACTCGTGCGCAATATTCTAAATGATAGTTTTGTGTGAGGAACCCATTACAAATTAAGTCATTATTCACTGATTATTTTAAGTAGTTGGTATCTGAAGAACAACTACTATCGGATCATCGAGTGAGCTGAAATCGAGAACCGGATTCGTGAATGAATCACTTTAGAACCGGTTCTTTGTAATGAACCGATTGTTTGGCTTTTAAATTGGCCTGAACGACTCACGAATCAGCACTCAACTGACGCAAGGTTCAGGTTGCAAACGTTTTCGAATAAATGGCTATCTAGAAATGACCAATTTATCGGTAGCCTTAAAAGAAATCGAAAATTGTATTTAACGTTATGCTATTCAAACTAGTGCTAATAGAAAAGCTTTGAACTGTTCACTTACAACCAGCCTTCAACGTTGAAACAAGAACCGACCTTATTTCAACCATATTTCAACGTTGAACGCTGGGTACGGCATGTATTTAAAGTCTTTGAATAGTTCTAAGGTCTCCAACTGTGTGACTGACTTTTTTCTTAAATTTATGTATTTTCTGTTTGTTTTTTTTTTCGTTCCCTTGCTCCCATGGCATTAATATGTATATGGTGGTAATGTTTTGTTGTTTAAAGCATAATAATGAAAAAGTTAAGAACTGACTGGAAGGAAAGTTAAAAACTTAATCCTGTAATCTATGGTTCTTACACAGAAAGCTTTTTCATATTTAGAGACTGTATATATGTTGTAAAATACAGTAAATCACATCATAGACTGTGTATGCGAAAGAAAAAATAATTGGAGTAATGTAAGGCATGTGTTTATAGAAAGGCTCTTCTCCAAACACCATAACACCATTTAGGCAGGCCTGCCACAGGTCTGGCACTGACGGACACGTTCCCCTTCCAGATCCATTCACAGACAATCCAGAGCCACAGAATGACAGAGAAGAAAGAAAGGGGTCAGAAGGAAAAGAAAAACAGGTTGTTCTGCATGCTCCTCCGATGGGCTCGCTGGGTGGTTTGTCTGTTTATTTAGTCTGTGGAGGTGATGGGAACTGAGCATCGGCCACTGCCAATTTTCTCCACACTGAGAAAATATTCATGTGGACAGCTGGAAGCCAGAGAGCAGAGTCAAACAGACTCAGGGCCAACAGATACAAGACCCAGTTCGCATGAAACACATTTCCAAATCGAAAAGCCCAGCAAGAACTCCTTCAGTTCTCTCGTCTTCTTTAAAATGCATGGTGGACAACCGAACTGAAGAAACCATGTCTGTAACAAGCCAGCAGTCCTTTTTAGCTATTCTAAGAGCGTTGTTTCAGAAGCAGAGCTAGGTAGTTGCATCCCAAGAGGATAACGAAACCGCAACGCAACACTGAATTAAAATGATTTCAGACTCTTAAAACCACTGAAGGATTGAATCAGAATCAACACTCAAGGTCTCAGGAAGTTAATTAAGGTTTGTCTGAGGTGAACCTCCAAGTCCCTAAACGTGCGAGTGAGGATAATTTTAAATCAGACTAAAAAGGATTGAACAAAACGTTTATTTAACAGAAAATGTTAATCAGTTCACCACAACATGACGGACATGTTAAAATATACATTCTGAACAATTATTTTACGTTGAAACATATTTAACGGCACATGAACACATAACCAAAACAGCACTGGACAGCAACTATACACTGAAAATTAGATTTCACAAACGACAATTTATTACAGATTAAACTAGTTTTGTAAAACGCAAACAGCAGTATGTGTACATCACATGTAGTGCTAGAACAAGATACATATTCCCCATTTTAGTGCAATATATGTAGCACAGCTATATGCATTTACAGAGTGGGGGTGGGAAATGCCACCCAAAGAGCTCAGAGGAAGCAGTTGAGCTTTTAGGCCTCACACTGAGATGTGGGGCCACCCTCTCACAGGCCGATTTTGTTTATTTTCATCCTTTGAGGTAAACTGTTCAGTGTGAGCTGTTTATTGGGCCTTTGATTTGTCATGTGTCAGCTTGTGCTTGCAGGGCAAGTGTATACAATGGTTGTGGCTTGTATATAGTGGTGGTTTGGAGGTCAAGGCTGGGGGTGATGGGAAGGGTGGGTGGTATGAAGCGGTGCTCAAACCGCCTCTCATTTTGGCGTCATCAGGATAAAAAAAAAAAAAAAACGCAGTTCCAAGGCGGAGACGTGAAAGGAGTAAGAATCCAAATGCATGTAAATGAAGCACAAACAGCTGATGATTCATGAAGATGGCCTTGAATAACCAGGACACAGCATTCAAAATGTGATTTACAAAAGATTCAAGATGAGGGAACCTTTATTCAGTACACAAAAACAATGAAAACACACAAAACAAACACTTGATATATCTCTAGCCAGGTAGCAGATAAGATTACTAAAAGAACAAATTGAAGTTGCATTAGCTTTTGTAAGAGGTTTCTTTGCAGATGTTCGCAGCTGAATCTTATCTTAGATTAGTTTGTTGACATCCTGACCCTCTGTTCTGCTTCAATGGCTGATCTCAAAGCCTGGTAAGACTCTACAACAAGGAGAAGAAAAACAATTTCAATGCTCAACAGGAAATGGCAGGCTTTTTCTTAACACCCTTTCAAACCACACAATTTGTGTCACTTCAACATGTATTGAAACTCAACCAAGTTATGACATAAACTGAGATGTGTATGAGGAGAGGGAGTAGTAATATTGAGGTAAATATGTGCGTTACATATTCTGTGAGCAAGTGCAAGATGCTCTGGGGACCTTCAGAGGAAATTAATTTTCCCTAAATAAAATTCACATTTCCTTTCAAAAGTCTAGACTTCTTTTCTTTCTTTTTAAAGAAATTAATACGATTCAGCAAGGATTCATTAAATTGATCATAAGCAAAAGTAAAGACATTTCTAATGTTACAAAAGACTTCTATTTCATATAAAGGCTGCTATTTTGAAAACAAAAATGATCACGGTTTACACAAAATATTAAGCAGCTTAACGGTTTTCAACATTGATAAGAAATAGTTATTGAACACTAAAATGAGCATATTAGAATGATTTCTGAAGGTTCATGTAACACTGCAGACTGGAGTAATGGCTGCTAAACGTTCAGCTATACCATCACAGGAATATATTACATTCTAAAATGTATTAAAATAGAAAACAGCTATTTTGAATTGTAATAATGTTACACAATATTACTGTATGAGCATGAGAAACATCTCTCAAAAACCACGTAAAAAACTTTTGAATGGTAATGTATGCGTCTATTTGGATTACAATGAAATACCTTGCAGTTTCCTCATGAATGTGTCAATCTCTGGTAAATTTGCTACGATATCAAACGAGGGATATTCCATAGATCTTGCAACCTCACTGCACCCCTGGAAAAGGAATGAGAAAGAGATGAACACAAAACCCACTTATCTTATGACTCAACCAAGGTCTCTGAGCCGTTTAAAAAAATGCTTGTCTGAAGAAATGCATTCAGGGGTAAACAAACAGCAAAAGGCGTTTTGTAACTTGATTGCTACAGGGAGTTTTGTAACTTTTTGAGTGATAGTGAGGTTTAAAACAAAGCCACCCACTCAGAGCAGGTGTGTTTACACAAAACAGGAAAGGCAGAAAGCTACAAACCTTCAGTTCTTCATAAAACCTCTCCTCCATCTCAGACACTTGGGATATAGCCTCAAACGCTGGGAGAACAGACTCCTAAAAAATACGTAAATTTTAGCGGTTTTGTACCACATTTCTCAGACTCTAAATACATAAAATGTACACACAATTTCAAGACAGTTATTTAAATTGGATTAGATTATAAACCCACAATAGAAACTATTACGTTATAATAAATTGCTATACATTCATAATTCATTTCATTCAGAAATAAAGGCAACTGGTTAAAATTAGTCTAATTCAGTAATTGGCATTCAAATAAAAGCTCTATTTAACCACTTATAAATAATACAAAAACATCAAATTCATTTACTCTCAGTTTCACAGACAAGGCTTGAGCCTATAGACTAAAATGCAATTCTGAGCGGTTTCAACTGAAAGAAACTTAATTTATATTTCTTCATGCACCTGTTCTGTAGCTATATTCTAATTTCTAATGCAAAAATGTACTGATATTGCCATGTTGCTTGTACATGGCTAACTGCTTAATAAGGAAAAAAAAGAAGAAAAAAAAAGTCCTCCCTGAACGTCCCGCTGCCCTGTATCTTGCTCTCTCATTGGCTGTAGGTCATCGCCAATGTGTGTTTCAGTCAGAACTCATTTCACACAGCAGGATTCTCTCAGATCGCGTCTTTGATAATTCACACTGCGTGATTGTCACTCACGTGAAGGAGCACCGATTTGCCTCTGATTTCGCGCATTTGTTGGCGATTTCGAAATCAGG